TCTGAGGAAGGGTCACCAGACCCGAAACATTAACTCTGATTTTTTCTTCATAGATACTGCCAGACCTGCTAAATTTCCAGCAACTTCTGTTTTTGTCTCCAATATCCTCACTAGGTGGCTGATCCCTTGTTCCAAACTGATAGGTTTTTGCAATCGCCAATGGCTTGGGACAGTGGTGCTGCTTAAGATCACACAACATGTCTGAAAACAGCCTATCTTTTGGTTCAGCACGGGTGAGCAAACTCTTGGGCGTTTCACAAATTTCTTAGGTCAGAAATATCACTACTATCCTTTCCCCACATCTGCCTGATTAGCAGCAGATAATCAGGACCATCCAGGAGACCAAGAACTGTGTGAAACATCTAGAGATACTCCACACACACACCAAGAGACTCTTGAGTATAACTGTACTCTCCAAATAATATCTCCGAAAGTCAATTCATCCACTGGCTTTCCATGCTAAAACTAGCAAAATCGAAAAAAAAACTCTCCATTCCTCCAGTGGGTTGCTGGAATCTTATTAAACCCAAATCTGTTCAAATGGGGTTATCCATACCCAGCATGATATCTTTGCAGAACAGACTGAAAACAACAGATAGTGTACAGACAGTCAATACCAAATGAAATAAATTTGTTCTGGTATTTGTAGATACAAAATATATGGTAGCCTGTAATATGCACATAATGTATAAATGGACACATGGGAGCTATATGTGTAGATATATGTGTGCATATGTGTATGTGTGTATGTACATATGAGTGAGCGTGTGTATAATTTGCCTGAACATATGTGCACATGCATGTATATGAGACAGACGAAGATTATGGCTAAGTATGTGTGCATGTCACAGAGTCATAGAGGTATACACCACAGAAAAAGGCCTTTTGGCCCATCATGCCTATGCTGCAAAAACAACCACCTAGCTCCGCTAATCCCATTTTCCACACTTGGCCCATAGTCATCTATGCTTTGGCATTGCAAGCACACATCTAAATACTTCTCAAATGTAAAGAGAGTTTTTGCTTCTATCACCCTTTTGGCAGAGAGTTACAGATTCCTGCCAATGTCTGGGTGAAGAAGTTTTTCTTCACATCCCCTCTATGCCTCCTGTTCCTTAAGTCTATACCCTCCCAATCATTGATCCCTCCAGTGAAGGGAGAGGTTTCTTCTTGTCTGTGCGCCTCAAAGTTTTAAACATCTCAATCGTGTCCCACCCCACCACCCCCCCACCCCCCCACCCCACCCCCCCCCCGCCCCCCACCCCCACCCCCACCCCCACCCCCCTCAATCCCTTCTGCTCTGGGGGAAATGTGTATGTGCATGATTGAGTGTGAGAGTTTACATTTACACAAATGCATGTGTGTGAGTGTCAGCGACTGTATACGTGCGAATGCCCAGGCCCTGCCCTGTGACATACAGAGATATGCCTGAAAGTGTTAAACACCAGCCATTCCAATGTCCCATTGTTTTCCTGTGTGGTGCTGGCAACGTATAGGGTAGAGGCTTGTGGGAGAGGAGCAGAGGAAATTGGATGGGCGAGAAATAAATAGAAAGGAACAAAAAAAAAACAAAGAGCCTAACATTAGTGGCAGGGTGACCTCACGTACTTGTGTCAATGAAAACTGCATCCACGTAGAACTTGGTGCAAAGGGAGCCGAGGATGAAACCACAAGCTGGGCCGAAAACCAACATGGTGAAGAGAATTCCTAAAAGAGAAAAGGACAAAATACAAAGTAAGGATGATGAGGTAATTAGGTTCATTTGGTGCTTTCTCTGTGTTCAGTCCTGTGATTATCCCGGGGATTAAAACGGCAAGTTCAACTTGGGCAAGCGGTTTCAGGCAAGGCACACCAGTCCGTTACATCTTGAGGTGCCCTTGAGCTGAAATAATAATATTTTTAAAACATAAGATGCTGAATTGACATTGAAAGTATTTCTCAGGTCTCACTGTGTGCTGCACAGGGGATAATGGGGGTGTGGCAGCTGGGGAGCATGGGAGTGGGGGGGGGGGGGGGAAAGAGGAACAGGGGATCGAGGGGGGGGGGGGGTGGGGGGGGGGGGGGGGGGGGGGGGGGGCGTAAATGAGAACAGGAATCCAAGGGTGTAGAGCTGTGGGGTATGGAGTGTGGGAATGGGAGGTGGGAGGTGTGGTAGCATGGGGGTGAGGGCTGAGGGGTGTGGGTGCAGGTGGCAGGGGAGATGTGGGTGAGGGAATGCATGGGAGGTGTGACAGTAAAGGGATGTGGGGGAAGGAGTGATATGGGGTGTGGCCCCTGTATTCATCTAGCAGCTACTCTTACCCAGAGACCACAGCGCAATGCGCTGACTCTGAACTGACCGCTGGTCCTGATTTGACAAAGTGTCTGAACACAGCATTCTGATTGGCCGCCTTGAAGGAACTCTACCCAATAGGTTTGACAGTATAGCTCCCCACCTCCGCACCCAAGCCACCACCCCCCCCCCTCGAAGGCCCTCACCAGCGCCCCCTGCTGTGCACAGAGCCCACATGCAACTCGGATGCAGCGCTGCAACAGCCTTGGGCCAATACTGCAATGATGCAGATGAAGTGGGACCATGGGAACTGCAATGACATCCTCCATTGGGGGGTGGGGGGGGATGGGGTTTGGGTTGGTGGTGGGGTGTGGGCAGTAGGTCAAAAATAAACACATCATGGGGATATGGAGCACATAAACTGGAGAAGCACCAGGACCCATGACTTCTCTCCCTGGCCCTATGCCAACCAAAGTGCTGTAGGGAATGATGGGCTTTCTGGGCATATCCACATTACAACAGTTAACTCTATTCAACTAATCCAACACTAGGAGCAGAGTCATGGGAACACCACCAGCAGCAAGTTCCCCTGTAAGCCACGTACCTTCCTGAGTTGGAATCATGTTGCCATGACTTCACAGTTGCTGGGTCAAAAGCCCTGAAATCTGACCGTAACTGCAATGCGAGAATGTCAGTAACCCAAGAACTGCAGTGGTTCACAAAGACAGCTCATTATTACCTTCTCCAGGGCAATTAGGACAGCAATAAGTGATGGCCCAGCCAATGACACTCACATCCTACTGAATTAAAAAAAAATGTTCCGAGGGTTGAAGGGACTCTCTTTCCCCCTTAAATCAACTTAGCTGGTTCATGGTATGAAGTTGTCATGTGGCCCTTTCTGTTTTTTTTTCACTCAGAGGGGGTTGGATCTTTGGAACTGACTACCCCATGGGTCTACAGAAGCTCCATCATTGACTACGTTCAGGACATAGATCGATAGATTTCTAGATATGACTGACATCAAAGGATATGTGGACAGTGTGGGAATATGGCATTGATGATCAGCCTCAATCTATTATGGTGTAGTCATGAGGGGCTGAATGGCCTACACCCAAGCCTATATTGGAGTTATTTTGAACTGTTTAGTTAGAAGGTGGTCTTTCACTCCTCCCTGAGGTTATTTAAAGTACTTTTGTTGATGGCTCACTTTAGCAATTATACATGGTTTTTATGTTGAGGAACATTAAACTGGACCAATAACTAAACTGGTCAAGTTTCAGTCCATTCACACACTGGGATGCTAGCTCTCTCCCCTCCTCTACTGTGGAGTATGGTGCCCTCTTGTGGTCACTAATGGCTTATTCTGTACTTGTTTCCTAGCGTTGCCTTTATTGGTTAATCACATTCTTGGGGCTGGAGCATTGATACCATCTAGTGGCAGCAGTTTGTAGTTTTAGAATAAGTGTTACGAAGGCCATGATATAATGTTTTACATTACCATAGTAATAAAGATTTTTAACTGGCTCCTTTTGGTAAAAACAACAAAATAAATGCTCCCCTCATCACAGAGGACAGACTGAGCCACAGTCCAAGAGGTGGACACATCAACTATGTTTCAGGTGGCTTTACATCATATAAAATAAAACAGAATATGCTGGAGGAACTCAGCAAGACTGGTAGATTCTGTGGTAAAAGGGACAAGGTTAATGTTTCAATGATATGACTTCTTCAGAATTGAAAAGAGTTGGAAAATGGTGGTTAACGCAGTGCGGGGCTGGATGAACATAGCAGGCCAGGCAGCATCGGAGGAGCAGGAAAGCTGATGTTTCGGGTCGGGACCCTTCTTCAGAAAAATAAAGAAGGTCCCCTGAAGTACAGTGCATGGTATGTGAAAGAATGCCACAAAAATAATTTTCTGAAGAAGGGTCCCGATCCAAAACGTCAACTTCCCTGCTCCTCTGAAGGTTCCTACCTGTATCCCCTGGTTATTGACCTCTCCTAAGGGGAAAGGTTTCTCTCTATCTACCCTGTCTACTCCTCCTCAGAATGTTCTCTAATGTTCTATATTCTTTCCAAGTTACACACACTGGTGGGGGTTGGGGGGGTGGCGTGGGGTGGTGAGTAGCGATGTTACTCTGAAGATCCGTGCAGAGTGATAGACCTGCTGATGCTATTCACGGCACTGACCTCTGGTTCTGGAAGGTACCACCATGATATAACTAGCAAGAACAGGAGTGTCAGACATCCTGGTCACTCCGAGAGTTGGGTCTGAGGGAGCTGGAACAGTGTCAAGGACACTCCATGTGTAAATAAGGGATGACTTGGTGACAGGATACCAACCTCTGTGGAATTATTTCATATATCATGCACTGTATCTCAGGGGACCTTCATTAAGTGGGCCCTGTATCTTTTGCATAACCTGGCATAACAAGGTTTTACTGAGTCAGAATGAGTCCTCTCTATAGTTCAACTGTCAAACTGATGAGAAATCCAGTGAGCTCAGATATATACCTTTTATTGCACGTAAATCGACACAGCGAAGTCACCAGAGAACTGAAACCCATTTTGCAATGTTTCTGATCACATAGAAAACAAAGTATATCACTTATTCCTTGTTAAATACATTTTTGTAACTAGTCATTTTTCTGCAATTGATCACCCTTCCCGCAGCTGTAACATTTCCTTCACCAATGGTACCTGTGTCCTCAGCCAGCTATCATCCCTAGCTCCAGGATATTCACCCTAAACCTCACCAAGTCCTTCACTGTTGCTAAGTTGCTCCTTAAAAGTGATCTATTTGCTAACTGTCCTAAGGTCTCCTCCTTTGGTTTATGCCAATTATTATCAGACTGCATCCCTGTGAAGTGCCTATAAATATTTTACTGCTACCAAAGGCAACACATTGAGGTGAGTTATTGATAACATGTCTTCCTGTTGTCTCCAACTTCTGCTTCCTTAATATCTGGTCTGTGTCTGTGGTTGGTGGTTTCTTCAAACGTAGAAATATTGGAAAAAGAAGCAGGAGTAGGCCATTCAGCCCCTCGAGCTTGCTCTAGCATGGGTCATACAGTAGGATACTCCAAGCTCTTCAAAGGCATGCTGCATATGTGTAAACAAGCCTTGATGGGAATGTGCGCAGCCATGAACAATGCAATATACATAAAAACTGAATGAATTGCGGATGCTGTAAATTACTAACGGAAACAAAAATTGCTGGAAAAGCTCAGCAGGTCTGGCAGAAATCAGAGTTAATGTTTTGGGTCCAGTGACCCTTTCTCAAAACAGTCACTGCCAGACCTGCTATTTTCCAGCAATTTCTGAACATGATATACATCCTGGAATCAAGGTCTAAACTAACACAAAGATGCTGGAGAAACTCGCCAGGTCTGGCAGCATCTGTGGAGAGAGAAATAGAGTTAATTTTCGAACCCAGTATGACCTCTCTAGGTGTTCAGAACAAGTCATATCAAACTTAAAATTTTTATCCTGTTTCTCTTTCCACAGATGCTGCCAGACCTGCTGGGTTTCTCCAGCATTTTCTGTGCTTGTTTCACATTTCCAGTATCTGTAGCATTTTGCCTTTGCTCAATGTCTAATCATTGAGTTTCTGTTTCCCAAGGGATTTACAGCAGGTGGGGAGGGGCCGTTTGTAAGACACCTTAATTTCTTGAATTGTGCCGGTGCTACCGATCTAACTGTGTGGAAGGGTTTCCCTCGATGACTCTCCATTCTCCCTTTCCGTGTGTCTTCCAGCTGTGAAACGGAGGGAGCAGCTGCCACCTCCCATTTTGCTTGTCTGCAAACACAAGGTGTCACCCCTTGTCTACTCTGCATTCTCAACAATGGATCAAGCCTTGGGAAACAAAATAAGCTTCAGAGATTCATCCCACTGCTGGTATCCTGCCTACTGACATTCTTACGAGACTGGTCCTGTTTTTAATTATATGTGAAGGAGATCTTGTCTCATGCAGGCAGAAGACGCATGACCACAGGAAATCAGCACCATTTTCAGGAGCTGGTGAATGAACATCTTCAAGAATCTTGTTGCCATCTGCTGGTCAGAAGGTTCCATTTCCATTGAGTTTTACTCATCACACATTGCTTCTGGACAATGAATGTATATATTTTATATATCTATATCTACAAATATATGTATATGTAACATATATATATAGATATATTTAAATATATGCTCTTACAAAGTTTTCAAAGCTTAGTTCTTTGGTTTCCAGTTGTAGGGATACCACCACATACCCAAACTATTAAAGGTCAAAAATCACATGACACCAGGTTATAGTTCAATAGGTTTACCTGAAAATGTAAGCTTTCTGTGCTCAGCCCCTTCCTCAGCGTGAGGCCTGAGGAAGGAGCTGAGCTCCAAAAACTTGCATTTTTAAATAAACATCTTAGACTATAACCTGGTGTCATGTGATGT